AATATTTGGTGAGACCACCCTTTGTGTTTAAATCTTGTCCTAGTGACGCTTACTCATAGTTTTTCAGGTAGCTTTGCAGGTAGGTTTCTTCAAGCGTCTTGTAGACGTTGCCACAGTTCTTCTGCATTTAGTCTGTCTCAGTTTTTTTAGTTTCTTCATGTAATCCCAGATGGTGAGATCAGATCTCTGTGTGTATCATACCAGTTGTTTGCAGACTGGATTATAACAATTAATGGCAAAAGGAATGTTTGGAAATAAAATAAAAAAAGATATTTTATCCTACTGACACACTACAGCAGAATAGTTAAATAACTGTCTTAATACCTTTTTTTAAATACTAATGTGCCTTTTGCACTGTAAATTATACTGTGAATTGTCATCAAGCTTTAATCTGCTAATATGCGATTATAAGGCATGAAGATAGCAAGATATTATAAACATCATGACTTTCAGTGAGCATTGTGAAAAGTGCTATACCAATAAAATTGACTTGCCTTGACAATGTGTTTCTCCAGCAGGGCTGTGTGTTCTCTTTGTTTGTGCTTTATGTCAAACAACTGTTGTGTCTGTGATGGACAGTTGCGGTGGCTCCTGGTTGGCATGTCAAGGCGGAGCAGAAACAGCAGGGCGTGGAGGTACGTGTGGAGTGGAATCCGAAGGGATGCAGATGCGAGAGCGCTGGTGCTCGCCTCCGAGAGTGACGAGTGGGGTTATGATCGCCATCAGGTTGGTGTGGATGATGTGGATATGCCTTTAGATGAGGCAGCAATTATTTTTTTAGTACGAAATGGCCTTTTGTCTGAAGTGCTGAACATCACAAGAGCTATTTCAGTTCAAAAAAGCACAAATGGCTGAGAAAACGGACCGAAACTATGTTTGTCCTTCAGTACAGTGACTCTGATTCCGAAGCCGAGTATCCAGCCATTGTGCCAGCGGTTCCGAGTGCGGTGCCTGTAACGGGAGAGTCATACTGCAGCTGTGATTCACAGATGGAGCTCAGCTGTAACCCACGGCTCCGGGGTTACACACACTTGCGAGACTGCCACTGTGGAGAAGATGACCAAGGTGGTGCCAAATGCAACATTATTTTTTATTTTTTTTACCTTGATCAGGCTTATTATGACTGAAATTGTTCTCTTTTTGGCTGTTTACTTGGTTGTCAGATTTTGACTGGGTGTGGGACGAGGGCAGCCGGTCGTCTGCAACCCTGCTGAGCTGTGAGAACAGGAAAGTGAGCTTCCACTCAGAATATAGCTGTGGAACGGCTGCCATTCGTGGCTCCAAAGAACTTTCGGAGGGACAACACTTCTGGGAGATTAAAATGACTTCCCCTGTCTATGGCACAGACATGGTGAGAGACAAGAGTGTGTCTTTAAGCGTGATTTGTGTGGTAGTAATATTCTGTATGGTTAGGAATAGGATGCATTATTTGCTTATTTTGGGCATCTTATCTGAAATGGGCTGATTCTAAACTTAGACATTTAGCAACATGGCTGATTCAGCAGACCGAAGCATAACTGTCAGCATACAGCTAATGAGGCTGAAACTTGCTGAATCAATTGAGTTCTCCAAGATGTGAGCCACATTGCTTTACTTTTTCTTTTTGAAAATGTGTACACTTCAGGTCAAGTTTGAGGTCAAAGTTTTTTTGGGGGGGTATAAATTACTACTTGAGAAAAGATGCAATACATTGATCAAAAATGACAGTAAACACATTTATAGTGTTACCTTTTCTTTCTTTTTTTACTTTTCATTCATCAAAGAATCCTGAAAATATGTATCACGGTTTTCACAAAAACATAACTGTTTTCAACATTTTGTTTCATTTAACTTCAGTTTCTTGAGCAGCAAATCATCATATTAGAATGATTTCTGAAGGATATTGTGACACTGGAGTAATGCTGAAAGGTCTTTGGGACAGCATTGACATCACATAGATAAATTATATTTTAAAAATATCTAAATAGAAAACAGTATTTTAAATGGTTAAAAAAAAAATCCACAATGTTACTGTTTTACTGTATTTTTGATCAAATAAATGCCGCCTGGTGAGCACTAGAGACTTCGTACCAACCCCAAACCTTTTTTTTTTTTACAAACGGTAGTGTATATGGGATTGTTTATTCTTGATGGTTGAATTCTCTGTGTGTGTTTATGTAGATGGTTGGTATTGGCACGTCAGATGTGAATCTAGACAAATACAGACACACATTCTGCAGCCTGCTGGGAAAAGATGAAGACAGCTGGGGCCTGTCATATACAGGTAAAACGAGTTCAGTTCACAAACACATACTTGTGCTCAAAACATGAAAGCATAGTGCTTAAGGATTGTTCTGTAATGTATGTATGTGTTTTTGTCAGGTCTGTTACATCACAACAGTGATAAAGTGAGCTTTTCGTCACGATTCGGACAGGGATCTATTATTGGTGTTCACTTGGACACTTGGCACGGCACCCTCACCTTCTTCAAAAACCGCAAGTGCATCGGTAAGACCTAATCTTCACATCACAACAGCTTTCAGCTGCTATCTTATCTTGTTTTTGAAATATTATACACATTTTAAGTGTCACTTTCTCTCTAGGAGAGATACTATATGAAGTGAAGTTCTTGAAAAATAAATATTTTTAAGACTGTCAACATAAAATGTAAAAGTTGCTTTAGCAACCAGGCACACATTTTTTTTATAATATTATTTTTGTATTTGTCTTATTATTGGGTAGTTTATATATATATATATATATATATATATATGTGTGTGTGTGTGTGTATGTGAATTAAGTTTTCTCTCCTTTTTTGCAACATAACTTTAAATGAGGTTAAATATTAATTAATTATTTATTTATAGTAGTTAGTATAGTATTATTTTTTAGTATTTAGTAACTATAATAAGAAGTTGTCTTGTGTGAAAATCTGTAATTGCACATCCCTGGGTTTTGCAGATCAGACTCTATTGAACAATCACACACCTGGAGAGCAGCTTTATCTCTGTTAAATCACACATTTAATACCATTTAACTTGAACGTTGTGTGTGTGTGTCAGGTGTAGCAGCTACAGAGATGAAGAATAAACATGTTTTTCCGATGGCATGTTCCACCGCGGCCAAAAGCAGCATGAAGGTGATTCGGTCCGTCTCCGCTGCCACATCTCTACAGTACCTTTGTTGCTCACGACTCCGCAAGCTTCTCCCGTCTGGAGTCGATGCCCTTCGAGTCCTGCCCCTGCCGCCCGGCCTCAGACATCTTCTTCACTCCAAACTGGGATGGGTGCTGAGCCTGGATCATACGCACACCCACTCGAACACACACACCCCGCCAGGACCCTCCTCGGGCAGTGACTCTGAGGGCTGCTCCTCGGACCCGGAGGCCTGCCAGCGGAAACGTTGCCGCTGGACTTGAGACCGCGTGTGCTGTGTGCACATCCACTCAGCTTGTCATTATGCACAAATTAGAAAATGTCTCTACAGATAAAGAAGAATCGACATATGTTAACACTGGACTTGTGCTGTCAATCACAATGGTGGATAACAGAGCTTGCTGAATAACTTTGAAAAGAATTCAAGGTCAGTCAAGCCTGTTTTACTAGTTTGTCGCTAAATATCCAACTATCATTCAAGGCTCTAAAGGTAGTTTGCCCCATCAGGTGACATTTGGATATATATTTTACAGTATTCATAGTCAGTTTTTATTCTGTTGTGAACTCCCAGTGGAATGAAGTCCATTAGCTCTTCAGACAAATAGCAAGATATGAACCTCATAAATCTGTTCTGATGTTGGAAATAATAACATGCAACCATATGAAACACAGGCAAACAATCAAACTGTTTGCATGCACAAGTAACACAAACAATACATAACACATTGAGTGAACTGTAAATTTCTTCATTACTGGGGGTTGAAAACGTGACCTGATCTCCTCTGAAGTAATGCATATTCAAATGTCATGCTCCATTACAGGCCAGTCAAACATCTCAGCACTTCAGAGTGCCATGGTCTTTTTTCTCTTTATGTTTAAACAACCGTTGTATGTTTTTTACTCTATTCTTATTTGATAAAACTTGGACTTACCAACTGACAGTAAGTAACAACAGTGACGTCATTATGAATATTGTCTGCATAAATGTGTTTTAAAGACCATTACATTGAATTGGTGAGGAAAAGGCCTGTGTATTTTGACAGTTTTTGTCTTTAGGAATTACTTTGGGCCCTAGTTATTATTACTCAAAGTGTGTGTATGTGTATCTGAACAGTATTTCCAAAGAAACTCGGTTTTCCTGAAAATATCTTGATGCAGTTGTCAAACTGACTGATGCTAACTGACGTGGAGGTTGATTCAGTTTTCAATCTGTGCAACATCTCTACATGAGGTTCATATTGAATTCATATGGTGTTTATATTGCAGGTTTTATAATCCATTGTTTAAAAAAAGCAAATCATGTTTTCTTAATGCATAAAGCACTTTTTGCTCTTAATGTATGTATAGAAATATATACAGGTCCTTGTACTGTGTTCTGCACGTATTGTATGTCATAAGCGCTCTCTTTTTCTCTCTCATTCTCTCTTTATCCACTTCTCTCTTCCTCTTTCTCGCTCTTCTCTCTCGCTTCTTCTGCAACATACATTAAGCATGGCCTTTTATATGAGTCAAGGAAAAAAATAAGGAAAATGATATATGCATTAAAAATAGGGTCTGAATATGATTTTGTTTGTTTGTTCTTTTTGAGATCCTAATAAAGGTTTCTAAAAATCAATCAAAATTAAACAACTCGTACTTTTGGACGATGCATTTCTAATTAATTTTGTACAGTATTCTTCTGACAAAATGTTGCATTGAAAACGCTGCAAAACAGATAATTTATGTAGGCCTGTTTATGCTACTGAACCGACTTATGGTCAATTTTTCAAATGTTTCTCTTAAATTGAGAAACATTTAAGATATATCCTCTCAAATATTCCTTAAAAATAAAGCAAGTGTTGCCCTATGGTTGCCCGTCCTAAGCGGAACAGGAATATGCATGCGCATTTCGCACGGACCGATTTCATTGACGGACAGCAGTAACCGTGACGTAATTGTGTGGAGGTCAAATCAAACAGATAGGTAAGATAGCTCACATTGACTGAAAAATGAATTAAAATGTGCGCGTATTTGTATTTATTACAGTCACTATTCTTCTTATGGCTTTGGCTGTAGTGTTCACCCCTTTGTCTAGTGTCTTATGATGTGTTGTAACACGTGCAGCATGTGTTCCCAAGACTATTTTAGCTGGTTATTTAGCTTGTCCTTTGAAAGTAGTTGCTGTTCCGATATTTCTGTTTGATATCTTTTTCGTTTTACATTAGCATACGTCTTAAATAATGAGTAAAAATTGGCAAAATTGATAACTGTTTCCTGTCTCATGGATTTTCAGTAGCAGCTAGATAGAAATATTTAAGTGGCCTTTTAAATATGCCTTCAAACCTTTGTATTAATTTGAAGATAAATTAATTGTTATTGGTCATTTAAAATAAAGTCTTATGAGTCTTAATTGACTCTTGCGCTTCTGCTTATAATACTTAATATAATATAACTTTCATACATAATAATAGACTCAGCAATATTTAATACTTTTCTTTGTGAGTTCATTGGTTTCAATATACAGTAAAGTCTAAAAGTCTAAATTGATGGTTTAAATTCTTCTATTTTGTATTATACATTTTTCTCATGTTTGATTTCAGGTTATATTATCAGCATATCTATTTGAGCGAATAACTGAACATTCCATGAATTTCAGGATATCTCAGTATTTGATATACCCTGATATTTGCATGAATGACTGCAGCATTCAAGCTGCATGAACTACATAAGTTTGTGTGAAACCTGATGTAATATTTATGTCCATATTTTATTGCTTATTTTTTGTTATCTTTTTTTATTGCCAGGCAACATGGTGAAGAAAAAGCGTCTGAGGCTTATAGCCGAGATGGCACGGAAGATCCGAGCCTACCGAGAGCTGAAGAATCGGCCCCGGGACTCTCAGCGTTATGCCTTAGACTACGACACCATGACACGGCCCTTCACTGGCAAGAAGCTGCCAGTGTTGGCTTGGAAAGATGTGCAGAGAGAAACCCGGCTCTTTACGTTACTAGCTGGCATGCGCATGTTTGGTGTGGGTCGGCTCTTCACACGCAAATCATGGCTGGACGAGCATACAGAGCCTTGCTACTGGAAAATAACAAAAGTCAAGGTGGATTATACAGCAGAGGTACGTTCTGTGATTATTTTAATTGTACACATGTTTATGTATGAGGTCAGTGCTTGTGTGAATTCAGTTTCTGATGTTTTCTCATTTAGAACATGGATCATGGGAAAGCATGGGGCATTTTAACATTTAGAGGTAAGAAAAAACCTTTTCTCTGAACAACCATAAATAAAGGCAGTTCTTTTAAATAAAAGTTCCTTAAAAAACCTTGTACTTTTGTTTTGTCATATGACTTATACTCTAGCTATGTACTAATTTGTGGTATTGCTAATATTTTTATAATCAATTGTTTTGAAAGTCACTTTGAATAAATGTGTGCTTAATGTAAATGTAAGACTAATAACTAGTTGTTTTTATATTGGTCTCTTGTGGAGTAACTGTGATATAAAGGAAAATGTATATGAGTTGAAATTTAGCTCAGTTAATGATCAGCACCTAATATTTTACAGTGGTGTATTTGGAGCCAATTAAGTCGAGGAAGATGTATCACAATTTCCACAAAAATATTAAGCAGCACAAGTTTTCAACATTATTAATAATAATAATATATGTTTCTTGAGCATCAAATCATATCAGAATGATTTCTGAAGGATCATGTGACACTGAAGACCGAAGTAATAATGCAGACAATTCAGCTTTGTATCACAGGAGGGAATTACATTTTAAAATGTATGAAAATAGATGACATCATAACATTTTGTACTATATAAATGTAGCCTTGGTGAGCAGAAGAGACTTCTTTCAAAAACCTTCAGAAAAATCATACTGACTGCAAACTTTTGAGCGGTAGACAATAAGTGACACCATTAGAGTTCATTAGAATTAATGTAAATAAATGTTGAAAGCAAACAATTAACAAATGTAGCAAATAAATACAGCAGCCTTGCTTTATTCATTATTCATAGCCTTGCAAATATCATTGTTTGGATGTGTTTCAGGTAAAGAGGAGCCCACAGAGCGTGAATTGGAAAAGGTAATGTATCATGACTGGCGACTGGTTCCCAAACATGAAGAAGAGGTTTTCAAAAGCTGTGAACCCGTTCCTGAGGCCCCTGTCCGTTATGTGAAATACCCGCCTCTGCTGCGTGCCATGATCCTGGCCCAGCAAGCCAAAGAGCTGGGTGTGGATGCCAGCACTATCCCAGAGCCCTCACTGCCACTGAAACGGGATATCATGCTCAGTTATGACTACTTCAAGAGTCAGGATGAGAAGAAACGGGAGGGTACACCTGTCTGATACTCAGGTCATGCTGTGGAGATCTGAGTTCTGTTGCAGTGGTCTTGTTCCTAATTTTATAGGCACTGCATGAGGTAAAGGCTGCTTTGTGTTTAATGCTATGCTATATGAGAACAAAATATAGCCATGCTTTTTTTTTATCCATCTTCCTTGGATTATGCGGCTAATTACTGAGAGGGAAAAAAGGAGATTTCTTCAGTACATTTGGACAGGTGACCAAACCCAAAAGTATAATCCTCTGTGAAAAGACTTTGTTTTTATTGTCTGTGTTAATATATGCGTAATATTCTTTACAATATGTGAGCTAAATATGATTAATTTGGGTGCATTATAACAGATGTAGAATAAAAATGACTAAACTTAATTTGGTCTCATTTTGTAGTATCATGCATCATGAAGCATCTTCAAGACTTCTTTAAATGTTGATTTTTCAATCAAATTCATGTAAACTTCTGTGTGAAATTCATATCATCAAAAAATATATATATCAAAAATAATATTTTGCATTAAAAAAGGATTTCTGCATTGTTTTACAAAATGAATTCGTACACAATTGCAGTCATTAAAATCGAATGAATTTCACAGCAGAATAATTAAGCAAAAACTTACATTTAACAGGTGTATTCTCCTTTGTAATTAAAAGTTATAAAGTTGTGCAGATATCTCCATTTTGCTGCTAAACTTCACATTGAATGAACGCTTCTGCACACCAAATAGGAGCGCAATAATTTTGACTAAAATATTCATTTTTCTTAGGAAATTAATATGCAATGTTTTATAACACCAGAAATGTCTTAATTTGTATTCTATAATTTATCTTTAGTGTGTTGGATTTGCGGTGAACTTCTAGCTCATTACACTCATATATTTTATAGGGTCAACTATAGCACTACTTTAAATAATAATAATAAAATTGAACAGAAGTAATTCAGGGAAACATAAATAACATTAAACTAGCTTAAATGTTTGACACCATTTCAGAGTCTTACGTGCAGTGGAGTTTTTACAGTTTTTCGTAATAAGAATTTAGATGCATATCAAAATCTTTCTTAAAAATGAAAAAAGGACTTTTCTTTGAAAATGTACACTTGTGAATATAAAAGTTGTCAAGAAAAAGTAGCAAGTTAACTAAATTAAAATGAAAGGGGTCTAATTTCTGAGTCACCAAAAATCATAATTTTTTGGCTTATACAGAAGTTTAAAGGTAGATACCTTTTAACATGTGGGGAAAATTTTTTTTATATTAGTGACCAGCATATTAAAGCCTGTTTAAAAAAAACTAGAAAGAGTTAAAGGTATTTTAGAGATGTCATAGTACTACCAGCGCAACAAAAAAAAGCCAAATCGTTTTTTGTTTTTTTTGTGATGTTTTTTATTTATTTATTTTTTAATGAATATATATCAAATAACATGCACCTATAAAGGACAGAACACATAAAACTCCGACATGTTATATCAAGTATATATAAGGCTTCACATATATAAAGAAAAAAAAATGTAATAATAATAAAAATAAATAAATAAAATAAAAGATATACACAGAGGAAACCTTTTGCGTCAGTGGTATTGAAAATAGCATCCTAATATTTCAAGAATCTGTCACTTTTCTTGTTTTTAATCAATCTTAGAGACTTCAGAAATGTATCAATTTCGATTAAGAAATGTGGAAATGTAGGCTGCGATTTAGAGAATTTTTGCTTGTGAATAAAATTTTTCCCAAACAACGTAAAAAAATTAACAATGTAACTAATTGAAGTACTAGCTTTATCTTCTTTATAGAAACAAATTATATCCTTTAATTGAAAGGATTTGGAAGAATCAAGGTGCTTGCCAATGTGAAGATATAACCTATTCCAGAAGTTTTGGGTTTTTTCACATTGGAAAAATAAATGGATCAACGTTTCATCCTCATTCCCACAAAATGAGCAAGAACTGTCAACATCCATATATTTAGCAACAGTGTCATTCACTGGGTATATTTTATGCAAGATCTTGAAATGAACTTCCTTAATCTTATTTGAAATACAATACTTATGAGGTAACAACCAGGCTTCCTTCCAGTCTATACATTCAATAAAAGAGGCCAAATAAAATTTGCCTTTAGCAACAGTATATTTTTTACTCTGAAAAATATATCGAATATGTTTATTATTACATTTCTTACTAAGTATATTTATACCATCTAAGATCAAATCAGGTTCTTTGGTGGTGACACTCTTACTAAAGTTTAGATGACATTTAACAAGATGACTTACTTAGACCAGAAGGAATTGCTTTAAGCACTGCATTATATTCTTGAAATGGTAAGGGAATATTATGAACAGACATAAATTCTTCATAAGACAAGACATTACCAGATTTAATAAAAACTGAGAGAATACCAATTATATTCCTGTTAAACCATGGAGTAGATTTATTCCTAATCCTTATTAGAGTTGTTCCATAGAAAGGTTTTGTGATGTGAAAAATTGTGGGTGTAGCATAACTTTCAAGCAAGAAGGGCCTGCTGATGAAATTAAGAAAGTGCAACTGGCGCTGTTCGGCAAGTAGTTACATTTCAGTATAAAGGGGAGGCCACCAATTTTGGTAAAGATATGATTCGGGATAAAAAAAACCATATAGATTAATTTTCCATTTCCTTCTCTCTGTGGGCCTCAAGATTTGCGTAAGTTATACGTCACACGTATCTCACACACATGACCAGCGTCGACCAATGGTGAGGCTACGTGTGACGTACAACCCAGAGCCATCAGAGCCATGTATTGAGAATCTGAATACATAGCTCTGGTACAACCCAGAACCGTTGCGATAAGTATATGTAAAAGAATTAATGATAAACTATCTGTATATACAGCGGAAATGGTTGCTATTATTTTGGGGTTACAATGGATAGAAGAGGTGCGGCCTGAGAGAGTAATTTGTTCAGACTCCTCTGCAGCCCTGTATAGTCTAAATTCCAAAAAGACAGCAAGAGATGATCTATTGATTGAAATTTGCACAATAATGCTGAGAATTCAAAGAACTGGGGTGGATGTGCATTTTGTTTGGGTACCTGCTCATGTTGGTGTTGATGGGAATGAGAAAGCAGATGAGATTGCGAAGTCAGCATTGAAATTAAAACAAGATGAAATAATGACCGTTCCCTTTGGAAAAGGAGAGGCCAAATCATTAATTAGGAAAGCAGTGAGTGACGTATGGCAGAAGAAATGGGACACAGACACTAAAGGGAGACACTATTACAGTATACAGAAATCAATTAAGGTGAAGAGCTTCAAAGGGAAATGTAGAAGAGATGAAGTGATGTTTTCAAGATTAAGTTTTGGACATAGCCTACTGGGTTAAAATCAACGCTTTATTTAATGTCAAAATGTTTGTCTGATAAATGTGAGGCTTGTAATGTTCCTGAAAATGTTGAGCATGTCATCATGAAGTGTAGTAAATGTAATTCTGAGCGGAACGTCTTACAAAACAAGATATATTAATTAGGCCGGGGATGGAATTTAGCAGGGATTTTAGGGATGAGTGAGGAAACAGGGGAGTGCTGCAAAGCTCTCTTTAATTTTCTCAAAGATACAGGATTAGATCATAAAATATAGTTTTTATATATATATATATATATATATATATATATATATATATATATATATATATATATAGGTTATATAACCTGTAACCTGAACTATTAAAATCCTGGTATTGCACACTCCGGCACAGTAGGTGGCGGTATGCACCTGTTCAATTTGGTTGCGATCCGCCATAAAACCCAGAGAAGAAGCAGAACCGTTGCGGTGTCGAGAAGGAAATGAATAGTTGAATAAAGTCGTTATTTTTGTTTGTCTTTTGCACACAGAATACTTTTGTAAAGTATTCTCGTCGCTTAGTAAACTTAGATAAACTAAAGATAGAACCAGTGTAGTCACTTGGACTATTTTAACGGTATCTTCTAACTTTTCTAGGCCGGAAAGTTTCTATCCCGTTGAACTTGAAGCAACTCTCAGATTTAACGTTAATCAACATTTAACATGGAACAACATGAGGGTGAGTAATTCTTTACTCCGGTGACAGATTTTTCATTTTGGGGTGAACTAACCCTTTAAAGCAGGGTTTCTCAAACTCGGTAATGGAGGGCCACTGTCCTGCAGAGTTTAGCTCCAACCCTGATCAAACACACCTGAGCAAGCTAATCAAGCCAAGGTCTTTAGGATCACTAGAAACTCACAGGTAGGTATTTGATCAGGGTTGGAGCTAAACTCTGCAGGACAGTGGCCCTCCTGGACCGAGTTTGAGAAATCCTGCTTTAAAGCAATAAACATTTTTTGGAGAAAGAAACAAGAATCTCCAGGTTTAAATCATTGGTTAGATTTAGTTTCTAAAGTGAAAGAAATGGAGAGGATAACATGAAATTAAGGGCAATAGTATACATTTTGAAAAGATATAGGCAACTCTAAAATCAAAGAATATTCCATAAATTATTTGTTGATGGACAGTAAATGTGCCTTTTTTAGAATTTTAAATCTACAAGTGTATTTTTATGATAGCATGGTAGCGCGGGCATGAAAAACCAGGCACGCATGCGCATGTCACCTAGCACTCCTCAGCGCGTGCGCGCCGCGCGTCTCCTCCTCCCTCTCTTCCGAAAACTCCTTTCTTTTCAGTCTATGGAAAACTCTAGAGGCAGCCCGGTTTTCTGCTCTGCGAAGATGATCATACTTTGCTTAACAATATTTGCGAACGTATTCAAGACGGGTAAGTAGTGCCTTATGGAAGGTTCAGTCATTTTATTAGCTAAACACATTTTTAAGTGATGGAACAACTCAAGCAGTCCTCATGTCGCCGGCTTATTTTAATTCATCTCGAGTTATTGTTTGCTAGGCTATCAGATGCACACGTTAACGTTACAGCACTACATATGTGACGTAGTGCTATGTTTTAGGAGAGGTTGTAGGCGTGATGCGTGAAGTGATGCGAAGTAAAAGCAGCATGCAGTAACGTATGGCGTTCCGATAGGCTCTTTAATATAACTTTGCAACATGCACTCGTCTCAATGAACGTGACGTCTGCGTCTGCCGAACGTGACGTCTGCGTCTGCCGAACGCCTCGTCTGCGTCTGCCACATCACTCGTTCGTCTGCCGAACGTCTCGTCTGCGTCTGCCGAACGTGACGTCTGCGTCTGCTGCGGGGTGGCTGGGTGGGGGGCGGGGTGTACCAAATTGCTCATAAGGAATGCAGGCCTAGGCTACTGCTCTTCAATTATGTTTGTTTATAAATTAAGTGTTTTTACCTTGCTTATACATATATATTTTTTTTTCAAATATAGCCTAAATATTCATTCACACAAATTATCTTATTAAAACTTTTGTTTGACATTGTTTCTTGTCAATATTCCCAAAGAACAAGATGTTATTGCATCATGTATAGCCTATTTGAGAAATGTAAGCATATTTACGGCATTTATTTTAAAATAATGAAAAGGGTAATCTAAGACATAAGGACAGGGTGACCCTGATATTTACGGAAATCCGTCATATAGCGACGCATAACTTGAATCCCTGAATATGAAGTGTATCACTGAATATTACATTATATATTAGTAAATATATTGTCTCACATTTTTAAATATATGAAAATGTCTTAGGCCTATGTAATATGCAATATATTGTACTAAGACCTTATAATTCTGTATATTTTCAAATATACAGTCAAACCATGCAGCGTTTCTCAAAGTGTGGGGCGCGCCCCACTGGTGGGGAATAGAAACGTGACAATTCGGGCGCGACAAACGGGAGAAAATAAATGTGGTTATTTTTTTTGTCCATCTCCAATAATTCTTTTATATATTGAGCGTAAACTCAAAACACAACAACGACATAAAGACTATAACTTTTATTTTTATTTTAATATTGAATTGTTTCTATAACGCTTGAAATGTATTTTTATTGAATTGTTTCATTTAAAGACATTTCAGGCTTTAGAAAGCTTGAACTTTCTTTAAACGAAACAGTTCAAAACTAAAATAAATAGATTACTCTTTAGGCTAGGCCTATTTCTAGTTTCGTTTCATTTATGACGAGATGTGCTTCAGTTAACGAGTTACCGCGGCCCCGTGCAACTCCATGCTTATGGCTGTCTGTTATATTTGCTTTATTTATTAAATCCAGGCAATTGATTGATGAAAAAATTATTAAAATGAATACAATTTAGGCTATACAAAACGAAATTTACTTCAAATAAAGCCTTTCTTCTAAACAAAACTTAATGAAGTGGTCAAAATCATCTCTGTCGACCCACATCTCTCGATATATATTGCCTATCTATTTCCATAATCACAGATGAAAAAAAAAAAACATTATAACAAATATGAAACTAATTGCCTCTTTTTTTTTATTAGAAATGGCTGAACATTCATTTAATTCTGAAGTTTACAAACAAGTTGAAAGGCATTCTTTTGTAATATCTGCAACATTTATCAAGTACACAGATAATTTTGCATGCATTTATAAATTATTATGGTAAATCACAATAAAGTAATAAATAAATATGAACGCAACTCGTTTAATTACACGTTATTAAGCATTTTACTCCCATAGAAAATCATTAAAAGAACGTTTAAAGTGGTTTAATGCAGATTAGAAAGTGGTTTAATGCAGATTAGACCAGGGGTTTGTGTGTGGACCACTATTTAATCAAGAATTTTTTTATTCAGTCTGGTTGAAGTCCCCATTAGGATAGAAAAACATGAACCCAATTCCTATTACAGACGCAGACGTGACGTTATAAGGCAGACGCAAGTGTCACGTTCATTGAGGCGAGTGCATGTTGCAAAGTCATATTAAAGAGCCGATCAGAACGCGCGATACACTCGCTTCACTGAGCCGTGCTGTACTGTGGATAGCGTGTTAAATACGTGTAACAATAAATAACTTCACTGCCACACGTGAATGACGCGTGACGTCTGACTCGACACTTCACTGCCACGCGTGATTTGCGTGACGTCAGCGTCACGTCTGCGTTACGTCTGCGTCTTAAGTTGAATAGAAATAAATAGCAGAATAAAAAAAAAATAAGACGTTGAGTGAGACGTTCATTGAGACGAGTGCATGTTGCAAAGTTATATTAAAGAGCCTATTGGAACGCCATAGTAACGCAAGCATTACGCTGTAACACGCGGCCCAAAGACGTCATTCGTCTACATAAATAGCAGGTTACCACCTAAAATGTGTTTTGGGTCCTGTCCTATTCTACTCTGTTAACGAATTAGCATGTGATATTAGTCAATGGTCATTAACATAAATATGAATAATCTGAGTAATAAAAAAACGGATAATAGCATGCTTTTTCTACTTGTACTTGACTTGATCTTATTGTTCCTGTGATTGGTTCTTCAGTGTTTGCTGGCCCGTGATTGGTCCGTTGGTCGTTGCAGAATAATATGTGATATTGTTAATTAGGTAATATTTTGTTCTGCAGGGACCTTGAACAGCAACGTTAATCGATTGCGCTAAAACGATATCGACTAATTGCTAACTTCTATACGCTTTTCATAGAGTTATAATCATATTTATTTATTTATTTGCTAGTAAATAAAAATAATACATTTGAAATGGAACTGCGCTCCGAGTCATCACCAGTTATTGTTGTGACCTACACAGGTGGTGAGGGCTAAGAGGTTTATGCTTCGGTATTAATAGGAGTATATAGGGCATATTCTAATTTAATTTTTCATTTAAAAAAATAAAATTATGTGTATATAGAGTATGATTTTATGAGTATGTTAAGCAGTACCAATTGTATCTGTACAATATATTTTTTATTAGGGACAAATGTACAGCCAGTCAAATGTATAACTACTAGGATACTTACCGAATAAATGGAAATAAAATATTAATTTGTTTTATTAAATTGACTGCGGACAGATAGAGCGCAAGTTATTAGTCATTATTTACACACAGTGTTGTGTTTTCGTGTTTTATTGTGACTTTCCATAGACATAATGGTTTTTATACTGTACAAACTATATATTCTATCCATTTACATTAACCCTACCCTTAAACCTACCAATCCACCATAGAAAACTTTTGCATTATTACATTTTCAGAAAAAATCTCTTATTACGATTTATAAGCTGTTGTCATGAGGACCATAAAATGTCCCCACAAGGGTGTCTGATGTTGACATTTTTGTGGTGATAGTCCACATAATTGACCAATTAGAATGGAGTATGTGTAATAAATTAGAATACCACTCAAACTAACTTCTCCAAGATAGAGCTGTTTTATTTTTTTGTAATAAAGTACTTAAAAAAGCAATGCCATTGAGTAGTCGAGGGGGTTTAAAAGGGTTTAATTTCAGATATGTGTTTCAGGATGGACCGGCTCAAACGAGCGCACGTTCATCGCAGTGAAACCAGATGGTGTTCAGCGCAGACTGGTGGGTGAGATCATCCGACGCTTTGAACGAAAGGGTTTCAAACTGGTCGGCATGAAGCTCCTGCAGGTGATACCACCACTGGAGTATCTTTCACTGAGCTTTTGAAAAGAAAATAATATATCATAAGAAATATATCATATGCATTAATACAGTATAAACTCCTTGTAGGCATCAGAGGAGCAGCTCGCAGAGCACTACCGGGACCTGAGGGAGAAGCCTTTCTACAACGGCTTGGTTAAATACATGAGCTCAGGACCCATTGTTGCTATGGTAAGAAACACATTGTCCCCGTATATAGATTCAATATGATATCTGTACTTATGCTACTATGCTGTTGCTATGACAATGTCTAAATTCAACACTTTACGTGTGTGTATTTATATATATGTTTTATTAGGCATGGCAAGGGCTCGATGTGGTTAAGACCGCCAGAAAGATGCTTGGAGAGACAAACCCAGCAAACTCTCTCCCAGGCACTATCAGAGGAGACTTTTCCGTGGAAACGAGCAGGTTAGTGTGAATGTTTGACTGGATGGATGGATGGATGGATGTTAAAATGTTTTTCTTGTGCAGGAATGTGATCCATGGCAGTGATTCAGTTGCTAGTGCTCAGAGAGAGATCTCTCTGTGGTTCGCGAATCACGAGTTGCTCTGCTGGGAAGAGAGCAGTCACAACTGGATCTACGCCTGAAAGCCTTCATGTTGCACTCATCGTAACATGCAGTTTTTACAGCTTCATCTGCATCTGATACCTGCTCCTCACAGAGGCTGCTCGGCTCAAGCCATAGTGACCAAAATAATAAAGCAAAAGGTAGCTTATGTTGACATATGTCTGGATCCAGTCATTGGTCAAGCCATTTTTGAATATGACCAATTTCTTACTGCTTAACTCATGCTGTTGTTAACATTTTTAGGGTTTATTTGCAGATATTCATTTTACTAATCTTTGGTGGGTTGGTAAGTCAGGCGCTATTCTAAAGTTAATTAGTGTTTATATCCTTTTGAAAGACATTGTTTACATTTTCACATTCAACTTTTGATATGGGCATGCTTCTTGTCATCTTGATGCACTATGTGAAAATACATTTATTATTCATGCCTAAAAAGGAAAGCAATAATGAATGAAACAGGGCCAGCTTTCTCTGAAAAACTTAAATATCCCAATTTGCTCTAGTCCTATGATTGGAACTCACTTGAATAAACTTTACTCTACAAATAAATAAATTAGTCCTTTGTTCATTAGTCTTTGTGTGTATTATATTGTGTAAAACTATACCATTCAAAAGTTTAGGAGTCGGTATGATTTTTACGTGTTCTTAAAACATTCTCTTATGCTCACCGGAGCTGCATTAATTTGATCAAAAATACAATCTAAACAGTAAAATTGTGGAATATTATTAGAATGTAAAATAACAGTTTAGTAAAATTCTTTCATGAATGGAAAGTTTGAAAGAACAACATTGATTTGAAATAAATCTTATCACTTTTGATCAATTTAATGCATCCTTGCTGAATTAAAGTATCAATTTATTTCAACAACGAAAAAAGCTTAAAACGGTAGATTATTTTATATTTAAATGTATTTGTGTTCATGAAGTTTTGATGAAATTAAATTATAGCATAGAAGACAGAAGTATTCAGCACATAAACATTTATTTTTTTAATACTTCACCACACAGAGAACACACAGTGATGATTTACATACAAGGCGACTGGGCGGGACGTCCATCTCTTTCAAACCTGCAGCCAATCGAAGGCTTCAGTTCAGCTGTTAACCTCATGCTTAATCCAAAAGGGAAGTTAGCAGGTCCAGTCAGCACACATTTCACTTAGGTTGAAAAAGGGCTAGCTGCAACTGGTTAAAGTGATTTTGCGTGCTTTTTTAAAAATCAATTTAGCTGAATATTCTATTACATATTTACTTAATGAGCTGAAATGACATTGGGGCATGTTTGGGTTGTGCTAGATTACCCACAACTCCCGGCCACCATTTATTTGATTATCCTCACATATGCAATCATTTCTCTATGCAGTGCATGATGTATTCCAGTATTTACATAAGTCACTTTTGCATTCCAAAATTCCTCTAACTGGTCTTTTCAAAATGATTCCGCTCGTTCCTGAAACTCTGAGATCACGATGAGTTCATTTCATTGAGTGATCTGTGTGCTGAGGGACTGTAAAAACAAAGGTCACGGTATTCGGCAAAAACTGGGTAGTTCTTTCAGGAACGTAGTTTGGTATTGTTTAAGCTGTTTATATGCATTTCATTTGAAATTACCATTCAGTCATAAGTTGCAGGAAGTTCTTGAACCTTGTGTTTTGTTGGAAAGGGAATGTTACAGGGTGGATTGAAGGATCGAACAGGTAGTTATAATTGAGGGTAGGAAAATACAGGCTGAAGGGTTCAATATAAGACTTTAAAGGGGTAGTTACAGGGCCGTGGTAGTTACATAGCTCAGGTACAGAATTCGGGGCATAGTTACAGAAAGGATTCATACTCTTATCTTTAGGGGTGGAAAGGGGGGCAAGGCAGGAGGTGTCTGTCTGTGTTACTCTGGAACATAAGACACCTGCCACACAATGATATGACTCCTCTCTGCTTTAGACAAAGCTGGCTTCATCTGAGGAGCTTCACTATCCGCTTCCTCTGTCTCATCCTCACCATCACCTGAGAATTATAGAATGAAGAAGTTATGATTTTATGACCCAATGTACATGCTAATTTCACTTATCAACTGCTTCTCACCAATGCGGAAGTCAATATAACCCTCTCCTCCACTCAGCACCAGTACATTTTGAAGACTCTGAGCTTCTGTGTCCGCTGGGGCTGAAGACCCCTGAGACTCTGATGGGCTGTCCAACACGCTACCATTCAGGGTGGCCAGCACATTGCCTGGAAACAAAAGATGTCATATTTTGGGACTGACACAGCTCACAGCATATAATATGCTATTATTGATTTGACACTCACCTGGCACTGACACAAAGAATTTGACGGCATCTCGGTGTCCATGAAAACAGAGTTGAGCTTGGGCCATGGAACAGTATGGTATGAAGCTACTCTTCTCAGAGTTACTGTCATCCGCATATACATGGATCACGCCCCCTGACGATGTGGGTGACACCTTATTGGCTACAAGGGAAAAATCATAAAGCGCAATGACCAATTGCAGAAACATACAGGAACTGCTAGAGCTCAAGTAAATAAATGAATCTGCTGAAGAGGAAAACTGTAATAAAGAGCTTGTAGCATGCAAAACAAAAATCCATGGATAAAAATTACAACACTTAAAATCTAAAATGTGATAGAAATGCACAGGGAGGAAATTCATTCATTACTAAAACATAAAACCGCAAAAAATAAATTTACTGAAAAAAGAAGGCCATGGTGTATATACAGTGGTGGAGGAAGTACTGAATCTCAGTACTTAAGTAAAAATACAAATAAGCAGATAAATATTTACTTTAGTAAAAGTAGAAGTAACACAATGACAACCATACTTAAGTAAAAAGTACCTGATTTTAAATGTACTTTAAGTATTAAAAGTAAAAGTACTTGCATAATTTATTTTCTTAATGTCTATTTTCTAATGATTAATAAAACATTTAATTCTAACTCATTCAACCTAATACTCCTATAATGATGGAAAAAAATGTCACCATTTCTGAAACAAGCTTGCAATTAGGCAATATACACATCATGCTTATCCTTACTATATGTTAATAACTATGGCAGTAAACGCGATTAATTTATGGTGTAATTCTGAACCTCTTGGCTTGCCATAATCCTAACCAAACGTATATTATACACGGTGCGTTTCCTATGCATGTAAAAACTAATTTCGCGTATAAATTGCACTATAAACGCTCTGCGTGCGAGACACATTTAGTGTGACCGGGTTGATATATCTAGAGCCTCCATTTTTGCACTCAGGTCTAAGTCCCATGCCCCTCTATCAGAATCCAGAGTTTCAAGAAGATTTGAGAAACTTATTTTTTCGCACAAAAAAAAAAAACGACAGGGGTAACACTGTCGTTTTTTTTAACCTTTTGCTTAAACGAGGAGCTGGGGGGACGCCGGAAAAATAGACATTTTACTCATTAGGCTGCTTCATTAAAAACGTGACATTTAGACGTTTTCTTCGGCGTGGATCCATGCAAATGAATCATTTTCACCTTGAAAATAATAAATGTTTTTATTATTATTATTCTTTTCCATTTTAAATAATAGACAATTTCTCAGTGATCGTCAATAAAAGAAAATTCCATTTTTCTCGGTTTAATGAAAACCAATAGGTCGTGATGGTAAGTTTAAAGTGTAAGTTTCACGTTTGAGGGGGTTTAAACCGTGACATCTACACGTTTTCAAAAGTGGACCAACGTGATTATTTCACGTCTTGTCACGATACCGGGTTGAAGAAATATTGTTTAGGCCACTTTGTTGATATAATCACAACAATTTAACGCAAGTATGGGAATTGGGAATTGAACTCAGGTCTTCTTGATTAAAGCCCAACGCTTTATCAACTGAGCCACTGCATCTGTTGAGTACAAGTGTGTATTGGAAGGGGTTTTATTGCAGGTTTGGCTTTATTTGTTGGAAAAATAAATATAGAAATATAATTTGAGACAAGAGGGCAGTATAGCCCTGTTTATGGTTTTGAGTTTAAACTAAACCGTGACATCTAAAACGTTTTCCAAAGTGGACCAACGTGATTATTTTACGTCTTGTCGTGATACGGGTTGGGCACTGAAGTTACAGGAGTTTCTTCCCGTTGCTAAGCAATGGAACTAGGTCGAGTATTTAAGTCTAGACCCTTCCAGAGCTGAGATATCAAATCTAAAAATTTCGACCCGAAATTTCTCAATTTTTGCACTCAGGTTCAAGTCTCATGGCCCTCTATCAGAATCCAGAGTTTTGAGAAGATTGGAGAAACTTAATTTTTCGACCCCAAAAAAAAAACGACAGTGGTACCCCTTTCGTTTTTTTTTCGGGTCGAAATTTTGAGTTTCGATATCTCAGCTCAGGAAGGGTCTAGAGACTCAATTTTTGCACTCAGGTCTAAGTCTCATGGCCCTCTATCATAATCCAGAGTTTTGAGAAGATTGGAGAAACTTAATTTTTCGACCCCAAAAAAAACGACAGTGGTACCCCTTTCGTTTTTTTTTCGGGTCGAAATTTTGAGTTTCGATATCTCAGCTCAGGAAGGGTCTAGAGACTAAATTTTTGCACTCAGGTCTAAGTCTCATGGCCCTCTATCATAATCCAGAGTTTTGAGAAGATTGGAGAAACTTAATTTTTCGACCCCAAAAAAAAAACGACAGTGGTACCCCTTTCGTTTTTTTTTCGGGTCGAAATTTTGAGTTTCGATATCTCAGCTCAGGAAGGGTCTAGAGACTCAATTTTTGCACTCAGGTCTAAGTCTCATGGCCCTCTATCATAATCCAGAGTTTTGAGAAGATTGGAGAAACTTAATTTTTCGACCCCCAAAAAAAACGACAGTGGTACCCCTTTCGTTTTTTTTTCGGGTCGAAATTTTGAGTTTCGATATCTCAGCTCAGGTGGGTCTAGAGACTCAATTTTTGCACTCAGGTCTAAGTCTCATGGCCCTCTATCATAATCCAGAGTTTTGAGAAGATTGGAGAAACTTAATTTTTCGACCCCCAAAAAAAACGACAGTGGTACCCCTTTCGTTTTTTTTTCGGGTCGAAATTTTGAGTTTCGATATCTCAGCTCAGGAAGGTCTAGAGACTCAATTTTTGCACTCAGGTCTAAGTCTCATGGCCCTCTATCATAATCCAGAGTTTTGAGAAGATTGGAGAAACTTAATTTTTCGACCCCAAAAAAAAAACGACAGTGGTACCCCTTTCGTTTTTTTTCGGGTCGAAATTTTGAGTTTCGATATCTCAGCTCAGGAAGGGTCTAGAGACTCAATTTTTGCACTCAGGTCTAAGTCTCATGGCCCTCTATCATAATCCAGAGTTTTGAGAAGATTGGAGAAACTTAATTTTTCGACCCCCCCAAAAAAACGACAGTGGTACCCCTTTCGTTTTTTTTTCGGGTCGAAATTTTGAGTTTCGATATCTCAGCTCAGGAAGGGTCTAGAGACTCAATTTTTGCACTCAGGTCTAAGTCTCATGGCCCTCTATCATAATCCAGAGTTTTGAGAAGATTGGAGAAACTTAATTTTTCGACCCCCAAAAAAAAACGACAGTGGTACCCCTTTCGTTTTTTT